TAATTGAGTCGCAACATGGTTTTATAAATGGCCGTTCATGTTTAACAAATTTGTTATCTTTTTATTCTAGCATTGTTGAGGCAGTTGATAGTGGTAAGGATTGCGATGTTGTATACCTTGACTTTAGCAAAGCTTTTGATACAGTGCCACATGAAAGACTGATTAAAAAATAGAGTCTCATGGTATTGGGGGTGCTATATTAAGCTGGATTAGGGCATGGCTATACCAAAGGAAACAGAGAGTTAGTATAAATGGAATCAAGTCAGAGTGGGAAAATGTTGTAAGTGGAGTGCCTCAAGGCTCTGTCCTGGGACCTCTGTTGTTTATAATATATATAAATGATTTAGATTCAGGTTTGAGTAGCAACATTTGCATATTTGCCGATGATACGAAAATCGGTAGGGAAATTAATTCGGAGGAGGACTCACTATCACTTCAAGTTGATCTAGATAGGGTTTGAAATGGTCAAAGGATTGGCAGATGCAGTTTAATGCTGATAAATGTAAAGTTCTGAGGTTAGGTAATGATGATAGAGTTACAAGATACGAGCTAGATGGTGTTGTGATTGCGAAGTCGGATTGCGAAAGGGATCTGGGAGTTATGATTAGTAAGAATTTAAAACAAAAGGATCAATGCATAAATGTTCGTAATAAGGCAAATCGGACACTTGGATTTATTAATCGCAGCGTTAGTAACAAGACACCTGGTGTGGTTCTCAAGCTATATCTTGCTCTAGTTAGGCCCCATTTAGATTATGCAGTTCAGTTTTGGTCGCCATATTATAGAATGGATATAAATTCACTTGAACGTGTCCAGCGTAGGATGACTAAGTTAATTCCCCAAATTAGAAATCTTTCATATGAAGAAAGATTAACAAAGCTTAAGTTGCATTCACTGGAAAGGCGAAGAGTTAGGGGTGACATGATAGAGGTTTACAAGTGGATGAATGGACATAACCGGGGGGATATTAATAGGGTATTAAAAGTATCAACACAGGACAGAACACGAAACAATGGATATAAATTGGATAAGTTTAGATTTAGGAAAGACTTGGGTAAATACTGGTTCAGTAACAGGGTTGTTGATTTGTGTTACAGCTGCCTATAATGCAGTTACATCCGTGTTTGCTCTCTAGGGTGGAGTATTGTTGTACAATAACAGCACCATTCAAAGCTGGAGAAGACCTGATGAACGTGCAAACATCGTTTACTCCTAGAAACCATTCAATAAAACATCTCAATTATTATGACTACTTAAAATGTCTAAACCTATATTCTGTATCGCACAGGTAAAGGAGATAAGTAATTTATCCGCGGAAAATATTAGAGGAATTGGTTTCAATTCTGCACACGGAAATAACTCCTCACGAGACAAGGAGGCATGGTAGGAAGTGCAAACTAGCCTCGTTGAAAACCAGAGGTACAATAGGTACGCTGAGAGACAACTGTTCAAGGGCCCAAGATTTTTCAACACTCCCTCTGAACATAGGTCGGCCATTTATGGCCCCTTTTCACGCTGTTTAATTGAAGACTTAATTAAACCCCTCCAAAGAATACGTGATCAACTGGGCTGGAATTCATAAGTCAGAATGCAAGCAGTGGTGTCTAACAGTCTCATCGACCAGAGTCCCACACTACCTTCCAAGAGGTTTGGTCAGAGACCGGGCCGCGCCGGGACATTGATTCTCGGATCTTACAGCAGGTATGATGATCAAACCACACACACATCTCCTCATTCGCCACTTTGTGTAAGAAATATTTTCTAGAACAAAAGTGGATATTTTTTGGGAGTCAATTGGACACATTCCAGCAGAATGAGCCGCGTTGTAGTGGAAATGTGTAGTGGAAATACAATATAAAATATGTCGTTCAAATGAGACAACGTCTAATTATTTCGTCACGAGACTAACGAAAGCCTTAAGCGGACACAAGACAAGTCACTTCTCGTAGAAAATAGCGACGGAGTCAGAGACCTGGGAATAATAACGTCAAAAGACTTAACATTGAGAGATCACAATACAGCAAACATCACAGCAGGCAGGATAATGATAGTGTATAATGAGAACCTTCAAAACACTGAATAAAATACCAATAAGTGGTACTCATAATAGTACTGGTGCTATTCTTATATGGAATATTGTTCGGTACTCGCATTCCCTTGCAAGGCAGACGAGGCTTCGGAGCTGGACAATGTACTGAGATCCTTTACTACAGAAATAAAATGGGTGGTAGCGATGCGAACTACTCCAACTGTTCTCCTTGGAATGGAGACAGAGAGTTTCTTAATATACCCACAAAAGGTGATAAAAGAACACATTCCAAACACAGTTAAAGTGGCAACATGTCCGGAATGATGGGGGAGAGTCAAATAAACCCAGTGACGAGTCGTGATGCCACTGGCACAATTGGAGGACACGTTGTAAACATCAGAGGCCTTCCACTTTCCAATCTCCGGCCAACAAACACAACAAAGGTCGCTGTGATGACTATGTTAAGCCTGCGGGCAACGAAGACAGACGGCCTCACAGACCAGACACTCGTCAGGAAAGGCTGGCCGCAGGCAAGGCTGAGGGAGTAGAAAAACTCGAAATATTCTGCAGGCAAATCCTATTCCTCTCTCTCCTTTTCCCTCCATACTACTGCTCCCTCCATACTCCTGCTCCTTCTCCCTCCATACTCCCTCCTCCTCCTCCTCCTTCCCCATCCATACTCCCTCCTCCTTCCCTCTCATGTCTCTCCTTTTGCTGGAAGAACATCTCTCCTATTTATTGGCTCAGTATATTTACCTTGTGAGAAGATGAGTTTACTCCCCTTACTCTGGGCCACATCCAGAGACACTTGAAGATATTACTCGACCAAAGACCACATTCACTCCAAACATCTACCACCTCTACGGGCTACTCATGCCCGTGCCACCTCTTGTGGTGACTTAATTTTCATCCATAAATCAATCAATCAATCATGAGTTTACTAGCTTGCAGAGGCGTCTGTGTTTTGTGTGTGTGGTTGGTGGGTGGGTGGGGGTGGTGCAGGGTCGAGCCTTAGCTCCCGTCTCCTGCCTTGCCAACCTACGACCAGTAAATGCAACGATTCATTGCATAAACTTAGTGTTCGCCTCGACAATCTTCGGTACTGTTGCGGCTCATCCCTGACATCTCGGCAGCTCATCCGTGTCTCGGCTTCCACCCGCATTTCCTGGTCCTACCGTTTCTCAATGTTATAATTGTTGCTTTGTCCAGTCAATTGGCCTTAATAGCTTGTACGTTATCATGGTGACATGTGTGGTTCCATCTTGGTGTGGTTGAGGTTTCTCGGCCTCTCGCCGCACCTGTCTCCAAAGATCTGAGACCAGTCTTCTCACACACTTCTGTACTTTCACTAGTTTTAGTTTTTAGCTTGGGATTCCAAGCCAGGGCTGCTTACTCAAGGGATGGTTTTACGTAGGTTATAAAATGTTCGGAAAATCTAATTATCTAGTTACCTGAAGGCTATTCGAATGTTGTGTATGCTCCGAAGTTGTATATTTTCTTTTTATCAGGAATCTGGTTTGGAATTATATATACAATATTTTTTTCTGTTACTGTGAGCTTTCTCCCTTTTAATCTATAATGTCCCTTGAATTTTCTTTGCCACGCTCATTATATTAATTTGCATTTGTCTGTGTTGAAGTTTAGGAGCCATCATTCTGACCACCACAGCAGAGCATCCAGAGTTCCCCTGTAATTGTCCGCAGTCATCTACGTTTCTAACTCTTTTCATTCAATTTGAATCGTCTGCAAAGAGATATGCAGTTTCCCTTTTTTTCGGGTCGTTGGCGTATATCGAGAAGTAAATGTGTCCCAGAACTCACCAAACTCATGGACGGGAGGTGATTGATTGATTGATGAAGATTAAGCCACCCAAGAGGTGGCACGGGCATGAATAACCCGTAAGTGGTGGCCCTTTGGAGCCATTACCAGTATCAATAGCTGATACTGATTTGTGGAGATGCGACTGCACCCTACGGAGAGGTCGTGACCTCTGAGGGGTGTTGGTAGTGTTGGTGTTATGAGAGTTAAGAGTTGTGGAGGATGGGGTGAAGTGAGGTAATCGCTTCTATCGCTCCACTCCCCTCTCACTATCCCCACTTCCTCTCACTATATCTTCCCCCCCCCCTCACTCTCATCACGTTGGTGTGCTTCCTCTGTCATTACCCAAGACACGAGTCCTTCCGGCTGTGGTTGTCCAAGGTCGGCCTCACGCTGTGGCTTCTCATCATCCCTACACCTGTACCCATCATCCATACACCCGTACCCATCATCCCTACACCCGTACCCACCATCTCTACACCCGTATCCACCATCCCTACACCCGTACCTATCATCCCGTACCCATCATCCCTACACCTGTACCGATCATCCGTACACCCGTACCCATCATCCCTACACCCGTACCCATCATCCCTACACCCGTACCGATCATCCATACACCCGTACCTATCATCCCGTACCCATCATCCCGTACCCATCATCCCGTACCCATCATCCCTACACCTGTACCGATCATCCATACACCCGTACCCATCATCCATACACCCGTACCCATCATCCCTACACCCGTACCCATCATCCCTACACCCGTACCAATCTCAATCATCACCATGCAATAATAATAATAATAATAATTTATTAATAGTTTTCAAAATATATGACAATAATAATTTTTATAGTTTTTTATTGTTATTGTAACGATGGTAGCAATAATTATTTCGTTTCATTTAGTAATTATGAAGAGAAATCACTAAAGCCAGTCCGACCATATAACATTTATTTCATTGTGAATGGATAGCTTTAGCAAGCCTTTTCACGTATTCAAGTAGAGCAATCGTATATAGCATTACGGGCTATTCATGCCCGTGCCACCTCTTGGGTGGCTTAATCTTTTATCAATCATGTATTGGAAATAATGATTGCACTCACAAAAATATTGACTTATTTTTAGTAATTAATGTTTATATTCCAGGTGTAGCGAGCGGGAGGTGCTGGAACAACCACCATTTTGAATTTGGTAAGTACTAACATGGACCCCCCCCAGCATGTATCCATCCATCCCCTCCACTTAACCAGAATGTATCCACCCAACATGTGTCTATCCCTCTTCCCTTCCCTCTTTACGCGCCGCCGCCCATGACACAGGCTTTTTTTTTTTTTGCTGTGTTTCTCCCCTTTCGTCATCTTGGTCTCCTGTCCTTCCTTCTCTTTGTGGTCCTCGCCCCTCCTCCCCGCCGGCCATGCTGGGGTTGCGACATAAACGCTCGCGTCTGGTTCTTAGTTTAGTCTGTGCAACCATTCGTTTTCTTTCGCTGTCTCCTATTTTCTTTGCGCATGTACCTTCTTATTTCCGTTGTGATGGGGGGGGGGATATTAGGTAGGACTTGTAAAGCTTTAAAATATATATTTTACCTTTCATTTTCTTTCATCATTAGATTGCCTTTCATCGTCTTTCATCTTGTAGTGAAAGTTGTCTTCACTTAGATTCCCTAAATGAAGTTTTTTTTGTACAAAGTTATGGTTTAGCGGAGTCAGTTTGACCGAGCGTGTGGGTTTGTCTTCGGACAAGTCGCTTTATTTAGGAACGTGTAGCAAGCACCTGTTGCAGATGTGTCGGGCAGGGACGCCCCGGGGGGAAGGAGGAGGAGGATGTACTGGCTCCATCCACCCCGACGGTTATCACATTCACCAGAGTCATCTCCACGCTGTGTAATGCAACACCTTACGCCACCCCTAGTCTCTTTCCCAGCCGTGGTCGCCTTTCCCCCTCACCAGGGGTGCTCGCCCCCCTCCCCTCACTAGTGGTGCTCGCCCCTTCCCCCCTCTCATACTTATTAAGAGACCAGATGAAAACAAAAATAAGGATGTGTACCTAAACGTGCATTGGAGGTTTTAGGATTTTCTTGGGTAGGATTTACGTGCCGCTAGGGGTAAACAGCGAACGGGGGAAGTGGGAGAGAGCAGCAGCAACAGTTGGGCAGGTGTGAGGGAGGGGCAGGCAGGGCAGGCGTGAGGGAGGGGCAGGCAGGGCAGGCGTGAGGGAGGGGCAGGCATGAGAGACGCCCATGATACCCTACCCCATCCCTCCACCACTCCCTCGCCACCGTGGTGGTTCACGCGGGTGCGGGCGTAGCTTGCGCCGCCAATGAGTTACAAACAGGTTGTTGGATTTCTAGTTAAGAGATAGTATATTCCTTACTAAGACTACTCAATATCTCGGTCGATAGAGCTCCGGCCTCCCCAGCATGGGATCCTCGGTTCGAATCTCCCAGAACCCAGGTGAATGGGTAGTATATACTATGCGTAAAGCCACTAACACGCACAGCGTTTCGGGCACACCATCCTCCCCCTGGCGTGACCCACCTGTCTCCTCACACCCGACCCACCACCATTTAACCATTCCTCATCGTACAGTTACACTACCGCCAGCGATGCCATGTTGATGTATCAACAACACCTTGGTGTGTGGGGTCTTAACAGGCCCTCCACGCCGGAGCCTAAGATCTAATCCCTTAAAAGTCTGCGAAACTGTCATGATGTGCTTAGCGGAGGGTTGTGTATGGGGGGAGGGTTGTGTATGAGAGGGGGGGGGGAGGGTTGTGTATGATGGAACAGCTGTCACATGTTATGAACATGGCAGATCACGCTATTAATTAAAATATGGAACAAAGATTGAACACTAATTTGTATGTCTGTATTTATGTATTTATTTAATCAATCAAACAGTTTACTAAAGTTGTGGCTTTATGATGGAATAATTCTATTAGTTACATTGTGCAATAACATGCCATATAATATAATGTATAGCAATAACATGCCATATAATATAATGTATAGCAATAACATGCCATATAATATAATGTACAGCAATAACATGCCATATAATATAATGTACAGCAATAACATGCCATATAATATAATGTACAGCAATAACATGCCATATAATATAATGTACAGCAATAACATGCCATATAATATAATGTACAGCAATAACATGCCATATAATATAATGTACAGCAATATATATACTCTTCCTGCATTTTATATTCCTTATAATAATGGGGAAATTGCATATTTAAGTGAAGCCAAATTAAACCACAAAATAAGGAAAAGCATTACACGAACCTGCACTTATGAGTCACAGCTCATCTGCCGGATATATATATATATATATATATATATATATATATATATATATATATATATATATATATATATATATATATATATATATATATATATATATATATATATATATATATGGGGAACCACCTCTGGTTGCGTTTGAAGGGACCCTCCACCTCGAAGAAGACGATATGTACCACCCGGAGGAGCTTTGTGGGTCACCCACGTACACTCACATATTGTCTTCTCCTACCACCCTCCAATATTTTTTGCATTTTGTCATTTTATTTGATTTAAAACTTCATTACACAAAAAAGGGTTATAACATTGGTTACATGCAAGGTACAAGACTACTTTTTCACAGGTTGTAGAGTTCCTGCAGCTCCTCAGATGGCGGGCAGGAACCACGGATGCGGTGAGCATTTCCTCTCTGGATCGCCACACTAAGGCGCTGAAAGAGGAAACTGGCGGCTCTAGGGTATCAAGTTGTTATTTGGAACCCAGCTCCTTCAAAAAACTATATATATATATATATATATATATAATGTACATTTTCACTTGCATATAGTCCTGGGGACCATTCAGGCTTGTTCGCATAATGTATATATATATATATATATATATGTGTGTATATCACGAATAAATTAACACGTGATGAACAATGCGACAGTGTCAGACCACGAAGAAAGGATTTAGACAGGAATTTCATTAAGTACTTTCGTATATTATAATACATCTTCAGAAGGATGAGCTTGTTCCACTGACGGGAGTCACGTGGCTTCCCTGCACCGATGACACCACTCTGGTTATTCTCACTACTCACTTTCCCACAGTAATTACTGACATTTCTCACACATGTAACCGAGTCCAAATGGTAAGTACAAACTAAACTGTCCTCTCGATAACCTCCACGATGTTCATTACTTCAGAAAATCTTGAAATAAATCGATACTTACCCGAGAATAACAATCCCTCGTTTCACCTGACGTTGCACGCGGCTTTAAGACGCTCGACAGATCACCTCTTGGCCAGGAAGGAGATCAGTTGCGTGTGAGGGACGCGGGGGACGACTTCCACAACCTTGACAGCAACACACACGCACACACACTCCCTTTCACTTCAGCAACGGCTCCCCTCCCCCTCTTCTTCAAGCTAAATCAATCGCGACGCAGGGATATGTGGGCCTGGGGCCAGATTCACGAAAGCACTTACGCAAGCACTTACGAACGTGTACATCTTTTCTCAATCTTTGACGGCTTTGGTTACATTTATTAAACAGTTTACAAGCATGAAAACTTCCCATTCAACTGTTGTTATTGTTATAAACAGCCTCCTGGTGCTTCGGAGTTCATTAACTGTTTAATAATTGGAAACAAAGCCGCCAAAGATTGAGAAAAGATGTACAGGTTCGTAAGTGTTTGCGTAAGTGCTTTCGTGAATCTGGCCCCAGGTCGCGACCTGGCCCATGCTCTGCTGGTGTTGACACAATGAGAGCCGGTCGGCCGAGCGGACAGCACGCTGGACTTGTGATCCTGTGGTCCTGGGTTCGATCCCAGGCGCCGGCGAGAAACAATGGGCAGAGTTTCTTTCACCCTATGCCCCTGTTACCTAGCAGTAAAATAGGTACCTGGGTGTTAGTCAGCTGTCACGGGCTGCTTCCTGGGAGTGGAGGCCTGGTCGAGGACCGGACCGCGGGGACACTAAAAGCCCCGAAATCATCTCAAGATAACCTCAAGATGAGTGTTCCTCCCTGTGGTCCCCATAAGGTCCAGCCACACACCGTGAACAACACAGCCGTCTCATGTGTCGTGGAGTCGTCTTACTTATGTCTCCCATATAGATAAGATTAGTGTATACTGTGAATGAAGTAGGTCCCAGAGCAGTACCTTCATGAACTCTTTTGGAATTGTTTTTGGTCCTACTCGAAACTGTGGCAACTATGCTTTTCTTTTTGTACTTGTAAATGTAATTGTTTCAGGTGAGCTGTTAACGTATATTTAGCTGGTGCTGCGGGTAGTCGCTTCTCAGTGGCGGCCACTCCTTGTGACACCCTTCACGTCACTCTGGCAAAAGGGGTCAGACCTCCACAATATGTCGCCTGTTAATCTTAATTAGTGTGTGTGTGTGTGTGTGTGTGTGTGTGTGTGTGTGTGTGTGTGTGTGTGTGTGTGTGTGTGTGTGTGTGTGTGTGTGTGTGTGTGTGTGTGTGTACTCGCCTAATTGTGCTTGCGGGGGTTGAGCTTTGGCTCTTTGGTGTGTGTGTGTGTGTGTGTGTGTGTGTGTGTGTGTGTGTGTGTGTGTGTACTCGCCTAATTATGCTTGCGGGGGTTGAGCTCTGGCTCTTTGGTCCCGCCTCTCAACCGCGGAACGAACATATTATGCATATCATCATTGTGCCTTTTCTCGTTTATATTTTGTGCTTTATTAAATGAGGGTTTCACACCAGTTCCCATTCTCAAGAGGGGGGCCCCTATACATAGGTTCTATATAGCGCTCCAAAAAAGGCTATTCGAATTCTCAATTACGGGCTCACCATAGCCCGTGCTACATGGACACTTCGCTCTGCGTAGCTAAATCTATAACAACAACAACGCTATTCGAATGCTGGTTCCTTTGTTATATGCTGCTGACCTAATGTGAGTCGGTGGCGTGTGTTTTGTCGTTGATGTATTTAGGGACAAGATGGGACCTAGTACCGACCCTTGCGGTACTCCACTCGTTACCTGTTCTCTCACTGTGACCCTTTGTCTCCTTCATGAGAGGTACTCCCTCACCCGTCGTCAGGTTGAGAGTGGAGAGCTGCGTTTTAAAGCGGCAGCATCATAGGGTTGTGACATCTGTCTGTTCTAGATGTTTGCTAGATCATCTAGATAATAGGATATATTATCTAGATCTAGCAAACATAATAGGATATATTATCTATATAATTGGCGCTCTTATTATATCTAGGACAATTTAGGGTGTACGTGTCAGTTACAGTCTAATAGTTTAGAGCTTCCTGTCTATCACTCATAATATCACTGTCTATCACTCATAAGCAGTCTTCCAGCTGTTTGGTAGTTCTCTCCTCTACAATGAAGGATGTTTGTTCAGAGTTGCAGCGGCATTCTCTTGGCATCCATGCGATGACTTTGTATGCCATCAACCCTCCCATTAATGCCAGACACCCCCCCCCCCCGCCTTCCTGTTAATATGTATGCCATCACCCTCCTGATGGCATCAGTGCCAGGCAGTTGGGGGGGGGGGGGTGAGGTCATGGAGATTTTGTTCCTAGTTGTCTTATCACGTGTCACGATCGTGTTGAGAGAGCGACGGGTTATCTCTCCTGGGATCTCCAGCCTCTTCCCAGGGGAGGGGGAAGGGGGAGGGGCAGGGGGAAGGGGGGGAGGAGGGAGGGGGGACGGGGAAGGGGGAAATCAGCAGGGGGGGGGTTGAGGGGGTTACTTTGCGGTTACCTTGCATTGATTCCCAGGATCAACGTCCTCACAACTCGATCTCTTAACAAGGCCCCCCTCACTGGATGGCGGTTTGATCAACCAGGTTGTTAGACGCAGCAAATGCTCCTAGTCTGACGTATGAACCACAGTCTGGTTGATCAAGTGTATCCCTTAGAGGCGTTCTCTTTTGACCACCTCGAAAATTCTGCTCGTTATAACCCCCTTGATGTTTAGAGGGAGTGTTGAGGTCTATGGCTCTTGATGTTGACAGAACTGTCTCTTAGCGTGCCTGTTACACCTCTGATGATCCAGCCCGTTCTCCTGAGGTGCCCCAACGTCAAGAAACTGTTGTACTAAAGTACCTTTAGCCTAACCTGCCAGAGGACCCAAAACAGAACACGGGACAGTTTGTCAGTTTTGCGAGCCGCTACTATTTTATAGTACCATTTTTGTCTACCGTTTTCATCTATCTTCTGTCTCAAAATGCAAAAATGTCTTAAAGTTTATTATTTATTGTTTAGTTGTCTTATGTCATCGCAATTTTTTGCTTGAATAATCTTCAGTAGTCTAACAATGAAACAGATTTGTTGCACGGAGCCGGTCGGCCGAGCGGATAGCACGCTGGACTTGTGATCCTGTGGTCCTGGGTTCGATCCCAGGCGCCGGCGAGAAACAATGGGCAGAGTTTCTTTCACCCTATGCCCCTGTTACCTAGCAGTAAAATAGGTACCTGGGTGTTAGTCAGCTGTCACGGACTGCTTCCTGGGGGTGGAGACCTGGTCGTGGACCGGGCCGCGGGGACACTAAAAAGCCCCGAAATCATCTCAAGATAACCTCAAGATATAACCTGTCTCGATTGGCAGGTGGTTCTTACCTGCTGAATCTTATTACGGTTGAAGGAAATAGCAGTTGAGGAACTATCCATTTGGCCGTCTTCAATATTTATATTTGTTCTTGTAGTGTTGATCTCAATCTCTCAAGCACAGGTGGGGGCCAGATCTCAAGTGTTATCTGTTCTTCACCGCTGGTCGTGTCTGTATTGAAAGAAGGTGGCCAATTCAATTTCTTTCTTTTTGTGCACCCCATACCCATCCCATGGGCGGTGATGTAAAGGATTACAGAGGCACATAATCGGTTCAGGAACTGAACCCTCTAGTTCGTTTAGCTAAGCAAATAACAATTTTTGACGCTAGTTACAAAATGATTAATGTTATATATATACATGTACACATTCTCATACATACAAGGTGGCCTGTACCCGGTGTAACGTCCTCTGTACCAGGCGTTGTGTTACAGAGGGTTGTGTGTTACAGTTCCTTATAGTTGTGTCATACAGGCTGGGATGCTAGAATCTATAGTCATTGTATGTTTCAGTTCGTCACAGTTTGTCTGATTTCTGCCAGTTACTTATATATTTGCCCCTGTTGAGTGACTTATGATACACGAGTGAGGTGGCTTAGTGCGTTTATTATGGCGAGTAATATAGCAGCCGGTCCTAGACGGTTACAGTCATGCTCCTGTGCCAGGTAAGTCCACTACGGGCTCACCATAGCCCGTGCTACTTGCAACTTTTGGTTCAGAGTAGCTGAATCTAAAACAACAACATAGGGTTGAGAAGTAGATTATGGCAAATCCAGGTGTTAACATAATTGCTACAAGAGATCACTTATAGACATTTCCGGGCTCCAGCAGGTCGTGTAGGGAACGGTCGGGGACAGGCATGTTGTTGTTGTTAAAGATTCGCTACCTGGAACAAAAAGTTCCAAGTAGCACGGGCTATGGTGAGCCCGTCTTCATGGGACAGGCAGTCTGTTCGGCGACAATGGCAGAACTCTCCTGTAACCTAGACACTTCCTTCCCAAGAGTCAAATTACCCAAATAAGACACAAACAATTTCCTCAATGTTAACCAGACCACACACTAGAAAATGAAGGGACGACGACGTTTCGGTCCGTCCTGGACCATTCTCAAGTCGATTGTGCCTTCTCAGTGTTAGTTGTACGAGGACAAATACGTGATTTATTCCTACAAATAAACTCAGGGTTAAAATTTAAAGAGGCGGCGAAGATCGTCGACTTCCTGTGTAGTCAACGGTCAGCCGTGACCGCCGCCGCTGGCCTCAGAGTTTACAACAACTTTGGGTTAGTTAGGGTTCTATAGGTTCGCATCGCCTTGCGGCAGGTTTACTTTAGGTTAATTGGAGTACCCACGTTGGCAGGGACCTGAGGAGGAGTCCTGTGGCGCAGTGGAATGCACAAGCGGGTCAAAACCAAAATAAATCCCAAGTTCGATTCTCACGGTAGGACAGAGGCGTTCGGGAAACGTTTTCTTCCATCTAGCGGTAAATAGATACCCGAGAGTAAGGCAACTGTTGTGCGGGTTGCATGCTGGTGATCCTTATTGGCCCTGAGCAGGGGGTTGAGGGGGGAGATGAACCTATAACGTGCAAAACTAATTTGTTAGCACTGTGTGTGTGTAGTGTGCTCTCCCCCCCCCCTCCTTACTTTAAACTCCACAGGTTGACATTTCAAAACCAGTTTGCGTGACAAGTGGTGGTTGTCACTGAAACTTGTCACGCAGCGTGATTGGCAAGAAGGCAGGTTTGTAAATGTTTGCAAAAATTTTTTAGACATCCACTGGTTAGACTCCTGGCCTTATGGACTTGAAATATGATTGAAATTGAAATTGAAATAAGTTTATTGAGGTAAAATACACACAAAGGGATGAGGTAGCTCAAGCTATTCTCACCCCGTATGATGAAAATATGATGAACACTGTAACCAAAGCCGAGCTTTGAAAGACAACTTCACAATTAACTGATCGAAGTCTACACAGGACTACTTATACACATATTTACTTATACACAGGACTACCTATACACTGAACTTCTTTGGCTCAATAGACGTTTTGTTCTTGAACGTTTTCATGGGTGTTGGAAAAATTAAAAGTACTCTCGTCAAAAATTATCTGACGTGCGGATATGTAGATTGATATGTGTTTCCTTCTGACATTTATGACTAGACCACCAACTTACAAGGCTCTGGCAAAACACTTGAGGATATGTTTGACAACACCAAAGTCCTTGAAGTCAACCTTCATGTTGAAAACGGCACTTAAAAATATTTCCGGAAACCTTATGTCACACGTCTGTTTTCTCATGAGTTACATGAACTCACATTCTTGATCTTCAAATGCAATTTTCGAGCATCAATGACTCAAGTGTACTGAACAGCTTTCTTTAAGAACGACTAAATTCAGCTTATAATGAAGAAACTGCAACATTTCTAAGTATCTAACAGCGCAATATTACACAAAATGAATTTGGAAATGTTGCAGAGACGGTTGATTTCGATAGTTTTGAAAAGCCATTGATACATTTACAAATCATTTCAATTTGGAAGCAATCATGTTTCAACTTTAGATACGAACCAGAAAATATTGAAAGAAACACCGGTTAATGTCTGCATTAGGGATATTTTCCTTTCCTTGATTTGTCTGAACCAAAACTAATTGTTTCAGGTTCACGTGTGTTATGTTACTTGTAAGATGTAATACCAATGTAATTTATTAATTGTAATTGTTATTTCTCAATTATAAAAATTCTAATAATTTTTAACAGGGGCTCTAAACGGCTTTGATTTATTTAATCTGCTGTCCATTCCTGTGATGTACGGCACGTTGCAAAATGTTGAAGCGGGGGGGGGGGGAGGAAGGGGGTTTGTTCAGGTCTTGGCTACCAGGAGCTATACTGTTATTGGTCAAAGGTTTTTCAGTATGGTGTTGCAAGATACCGCTGAATGGTGGTGCACGGCCACGCTGGTGCACTGTTTTGCGGCACCATATGTTGCTGAAGGAGGCTGGAGATGCTGCTCCCTCCGGCTTGGGTTACAAGGAAGATAAATATATTGTGGGAGTCCCAGCTTTCTCAGAACAGTGTGGGGCTGTGAGGTCTCTTCTTTCCTGTCTTCAAGAGTCGGTGAAGGTTGTGGGGTCTGTTGGACGCTGGGAGAGGAGGCAAGGGTCTGGTGGACGTTGGTAGTGGAGTCAGGGGTCTGGTGGACGTTGGTAGTGGAGTCAGGGGTCTGGTGGACGCTGGTAGAGGAGCCAGGGGTCTGGTGGACGCTGGTAGAGGAGCCAGGGGTCTGGTGGACGCTGGTAGAGGAGCCAGGGGTGTGGTGGACGTTGGTAGAGGAGTCAGGGGTCTGGTGGACGCTGGTAGAGGAGCCAGGGGTCTGGTGGACGCTGGTAGAGGAGCCAGGGGTGTGGTGGACGTTGGTAGAGGAGTCAGGGGTCTGGTGGACGCTGGTAGAGGAGCCAGGGGTCTGGTGGACGCTGGGAGAGGAGTCAGGGGTCTGGTGGACGCTGGGAGAGGAGCCAGGGGTCTGGTGGACGCTGGTAGAGGAGCCAGGGGTCTGGTGGACGCTGGGAGAGGAGTCAGGGGTCTGGTGGACGCTGGGAGAGGAGCCAGGGGTCTGGTGGACGTTGGTAGAGGAGTCAGGGGTCTGGTGGACGCTGGTAGAGGAGCCAGGGGTCTGGTGGACGCCTGGAGAGGAGCCAGGGGTCTGGTGGACGCAGGGAGAGGAGCCAGGGGTCTGGTGGACGCTGGGAGAGGAGCCAGGGGTCTGGTGGACGCTGGGAGAGGAGCCAGGGGTCTGGTGGACGCTGGGAGAGGAGCCAGGGGTCTGGTGGACGCTGGGAGAGGAGCCAGGGGTCTGGTGGACGCTGGGAGAGGAGCCAGGGTGTGGTGGACGCTGGGAGAAGAGCCAGGGTGTGGTGGACGCTGGGAGAGGAGCCAGGGGTCTGGTGGACTCTGGGAGAGGAGCCAGGGGTCTGGTGGACGCTGGGAGAGGAGCCAGGGGTGTGGTGGACGCTGGGAGAGGAGCCAGGGTGTGGTGGACGCTGGGAGAAGAGCCAGGGGTGTGGTGGACGCTGGGAGAAGAGCCAGGGGTCTAGTGGACGCTGGGAGAGGAGCCAGGGGTCTAGTGGACGCTGGGAGAGGAGCCAGGGGTCTGGTGGACGCTGGAAGAGGAGCCAGGGGTCTGGTGGACGCTGGGAGGGGAGTCAGGGGTCTGGTGGACGCTGGAAGAGGAGCCAGGGGTCTGGTGGACGCTGGGAGGGGAGTCAGGGGTCTGGTGGACGCTGGAAGAGGAGCCAGGGGTCTGGTGGACGCTGGGAGGGGAGTCAGGGGTCTGGTGGACGCTGGAAGAGGAGTCAGGGGTCTGGTGGACGCTGGAAGAGGAGTCAGGGGTCTGGTGGACGCTGGGAGAGGAGTCAGGGGTCTGGTGGACGCTGGAAGAGGAGTCAGGGGTCTGGTGGACGCTGGAAGAGGAGCCAGGGGTCTGGTGGACGCAGGGAGAGGAGCCAGGGGTCTGGTGGACGCTGGGAGAAGAGCCAGGGTGTGGTGGACGCTGGGAGAGGAGCCAGGGGTCTGGTGGACTCTGGGAGAGGAGCCAGGGGTCTGGTGGACGCTGGGAGAAGAGCCAGGGTGTGGTGGACGCTGGGAGAGGAGCCAGGGGTCTGGTGGACGCTGGGAGGGGAGTCAGGGGTCTGGTGGACGCTGGGAGAGGAGCCAGGGGTCTGGTGGACGCTGGGAGAAGAGCCAGGGGTGTGGTGGACGCTGGGAGAGGAGCCAGGGTGTGGTGGACGCTGGGAGAAGAGCCAGGGTGTGGTGGACGCTGGGAGAGGAGCCAGGGGTCTGGTGGACTCTGGGAGAGGAGCCAGGGGTCTGGTGGACGCTGGGAGAAGAGCCAGGGGTGTGGTGGACGCTGGGAGAGGAGCCAAGGTGTGGTGGACGCTGGGAGAAGAGCCAGGGGTCTAGTGGACGCTGGGAGAGGAGCCAGGGGTCTGGTGGACGCTGGAAGAGGAGCCAGGGGTCTGGTGGACGCTGGGAGAGGAGCCAGGGGTCTGGTGGACTCTGGGAGAGGAGCCAGGGGTCTGGTGGACGCTGGGAGAAGAGCCAGGGGTCTAGTGGACGCTGGGAGAGGAGCCAGGGGTCTGGTGGACGCTGGAAGAGGAGCCAGGGTCTGGTGGACGCTGGGAGAGGAGCCAGGGGTCTGGTGGACGCTGGAAGAGGAGCCAGGGGTCTGGTGGACGCTGGGAGGGGAGTCAGGGGTCTGGTGGACGCTGGGAGAGGAGCCAGGGGCCTGATGGACGCTGGGAGAGGAGCCAGGGGTCTGATGGACGCTGGTAGAGGAGCCAGGGGTCTGATGGACGCTGGAAGAGGAGCCAGGGGTCTGGTGGACGCTGGGAGAGGAATCAGGGGTCTGGTGGACGCTGGGAGAGGAGCCAGGGGTCTGGTGGACGTTGGTAGAGGAGTCAGGGGTCTGGTGGACGCTGGTAGAGGAGCCAGGGGTCTGGTGGACGCCTGGAGAGGAGCCAGGGGTCTGGTGGACGCAGGGAGAGGAGCCAGGGGTCTGGTGGACGCTGGGAGAGGAGCCAGGGGTCTGGTGGACGCTGGGAGAGGAGCCAGGGGTCTGGTGGACGCTGGGAGAGGAGCCAGGGGTCTGGTGGACGCTGGGAGAGGAGCCAGGGGTCTGGTGGACGCTGGGAGAGGAGCCAGGGGTCTGGTGGACGCTGGGAGAGGAGCCAGGGGTCTGGTGGACGCTGGGAGAGGAGCCAGGGGTCTGGTGGACGCTGGGAGAGGAGCCAGGGGTCTGGTGGACGCTGGGAGAGGAGCCAGGGGTCTGGTGGACGCTGGGAGAGGAGCCAGGGGTCTGGTGGACGCTGGGAGAGGAGCCAGGGGTCTGGTGGACGCTGGGAGAGGAGCCAGGGGTCTGGTGGACGCTGGGAGAAGAGATAAAGAAAGGCTGAGAAATACCAATTAAGTATTATGAAAATTTTTTTGGAAGGACTATTTCTTGCGCATGTTGATAATGTACTGTTACTGGCAAGTGGAAATGTGAAGGCCTATGATAAATAGTAAAACTTGCTTAAAGTGATCAGTTACAGAAATTTTGCAAGAGCCGGAGGGCCAAGAGCTGCAATAGCTCCCTTAGCAGGTGTATAGCCTCAGTGTCGAACTTTAGGCTGGGTAGAAGTGCTCCAACACTCGCCTGTTGTGCACCTAAGTATTAGGGGCACGCATGCGTGCATTGCGTGCACGTGGCATGCATGCATTGCGTGCACGTTGCAGGCATGCATGGTGTGTTGCGTGCACTAGCGTGGTGAGGTGGGGCAGCAGCAGCAGCAGGAGTCTGGTGAGACAAGGAACATCCCGAGGCTAATGCACTAATGTCAAGGGTAGCTGAACCTGGGTGAGAAAGTGCTGACAGTGGGAGTGGGAGAGAGAGAGAGAGAGAGAGGGGGGAGAGAGAGAGAGAGGGGGGGAGGAGAGAGAAATGAGAAAGAAATCCGGGATGGAGTAGGCGTGGGTGGAAGGGGGGGGCGAGGCTGAACGTCAGTAGAGGGAGGTAGGCAGAGGGCGTTAGAGAGCGTTGAGGGGTTATCTTGAGATAATTTCGGGGCTTTAGTGTCCCTCGACCAGGCCTCCACCCCCAGGAAGCAGCCCGTGACAGCTGACTAACTCCCAGGTACCTATTTAATGCTAGGTAACAGGTGGCATCAGGTTGAAAGAAACTCTGCCCATTGTTTCTCGCCGGCGCCTGGGATCGAACCCGGGACCACAGGATCACGCGTCCAGTGTTCTGTCCGCTCAGCCGCCGGCCCCCAAGGGGTGGTGGTGGAGAGTTGAGAGGACACGAGAGGAGGTTGTCAGTCACACGTAGTTGAAATTGAAATTGAAATAAGTTTATTGAGGTAAAATACACACAAAGGGATGAGGTAGCTCAAGCTATTCTCACCCCGTTCAGTACATCGTGTTAATACATACATAGACACACATCACAAACAATAAACATATTACCAAACATTCTGAGAGATAAACATCTACATTTCGTCACACGTAAGGTTGGGGGGAAGTTTGTCGCGCTGTAATAAGATTCTTAATTACACCAACTTCTTATATTAGCCACAAACTTTATCCAAGCAAATATATATTATAAAAAATATAATTTTTTCACTTGGTTTAGCTCTCGACTCACACTTGTGAATCTCGGGTTAGACTCCCAGGTGGGACAGAAATAATTTATTTTGTCGGGGATAGGCATCCTGTGTACGTGTACTCACCTAGCTGTACTCATCTAGGTGTGCTTGCGAGGGGGTTGAGCTTTGGCTCTTTGGTCCCGCTTTTCAACTGTTAACTCTCAATCAATTGGTTTACAGATTCCTGAGCTTATCGGGCTCTTATATTTATATTTGAAACTGTGTATGGAGTCAGCCTCCACCACATCACTTCCTAGTGCCTTCCATTTGTCAACTACTCTGACAAATGTGTGTGTGTGTGTGTGTGTGTGTGTGTGTGTGTGTGTGTGTGTGTGTGTGTGTGTGTGTGTGTGTGTGTGTGTGTGTGTGTGTGTGTGTGTGTGTGTCGCAGAGAGAGAAGAGAGGGGGCTTAACGACTGAGTGGATAGCGCTTAGGGTTCGTAGCCCTAAGGGTCCGGGTTCGGTCCCCGGCGGAAGCGGAAATAAATGGGTAGATTTTCTTTCACCCTAATGCGCCTGTTCACCTAACTGTAAATAGGTACCTGGGAGTTAGACAGCTGCTACGGGCTGCTTCCTGGGGAAATGTGTGTGTGAAAATTAGCATTAAAGACTTGCCCGAAACCCTATGCGTGCTAGTGGCTGTACAAGAATGTAACAATTCTTGTATAAATAAATAAAATACAAAATATATATATCTAGGTGAGTCTAACTGTAAGTAATAAAAGGAGTTACCGTCAGGGAGGATTTATCACGGAGAGGTTTGGGTGATATGGAGGCGGTTTGGGCCAAGTCTCCCGCCTGGTTATGGCCCCCCGCTAATCCTTCTCTCTGTAATGTAAATGTTACTTTTTTTTTTTTTTTTTTTTTTGAGATATATACAAGAGTTGTTACATTCTTGTACAGCCACTAGTACGCGTAGCGTTTCGGGCAGGTCCCTGGAATACGATCCCCTGCCGCGAAGAATCGTTTTTTCATCCAAGTACACATTTTACTGTTGCGTTAAACAGAGGCTACAGTTAAGGAATTGCGCCCAGTAAATCCTCCCCGGCCAGGATACGAACCCATGACATAGCGCTCGCGGAACGCCAGGCGAGTGTCTTACCACTACACCACGGAGACTGCTTAATTAATGTGGCAACAGGCTACACTCCGCTGACGTTGTGTGCCAGTGGAAGGGCAGACACGATAGTACTGTTATTCATATTTGGAACAGAGATTGGACAAATGGGGTTCAGGAGAAAATAACGGGATATTTTAGTAGATGGAATAGAGGAAAAAGGGTATTTCACTCAAGCTGTGTGTGTAAGCTGGTTAACAATTTTGAGATTTTAAGAAATGCTGTCACGATCGAATGTATTATGAAGGGAAGGGGGGGAGGGAGGGGGGAGCCAGTGAGGTGAGTTGAGGTCACCTCTGCCCTGACCAGTTTTTAGGGTTGGGGAAGGGGTTGGAGGGAGGGGGGGGGTAGAGGAGATGAAGAAGGACTCGTCTTGGTGATGTTGCTGGGGGAAGGTGGGTGGTGGTGGTGGTGAGTGCTTACCTATAGGTCTCTACGGCCTGGATTGGAAGGGATAAGGCAGATTAGTTCTTTGGGCTTCGCCTCCTCGTTATTTTTATCGGGGGCGTCGTTACTTCTCTTGGACTTGTGGTTCTGTTGGATCTGTCAACAGAACCACAGTTGGGAGTTGTGGTTCTCAACAATTGTGGTTCTCAACAGTTGTGGTTCTCAACAGTTGTGGTTCTCAACAGTTGTGGTTCTCAACAGTTGTGGTTCTGTTGGATCTGTCGACTTAAGCTGTGGTAAGGGGGGTGTTGGTAGTGTGTGGGGGGGGGGGGCTTGAAGTGGTGGTGGTAGCAGACGTGGTGGTGGTGGTGGTACGTGGGTGGTGGATACTCAATAGTGAGTTACGGTGGTAGTTAGCAGTGACAGTGCTTATGTAACGGTGATTACATGCACTCCAGCTCTTCATGCCCTCCCACTAGGAAATGTGGGCATAAGGTCGTGAGTGGGGAGGTACTCTTCACTTGAGTACACTCCACTAGCTCAACACCTGCCATGGATACAAGTGTCTCCTGACACTTCTTCAACACATTTGTATGTCCAGCTTCCACTTATGTCCTCTTGTCCTTCTTTCTCTCAAGACACGGTCCAACTCGTCTTTTGCCCTCAGTATCTTGTATGTTGTGATCATATCACCTCTGTTTCATCTCTCGAGGGTGTTTGAGCAGTGATGGGGATGGTAGTCAAGTGATGGTGGTGGCAGTGGCACTGATGGTGGTAATAGTGACAGGGGTGATGGTAATAGTGGTTATTTAATTTTGCTCCGGAGACTATAGTTTATTGGGCAGCGCCACTCATCCTGTGAGTGATCATCCAGCTATTTGGGAGATGAGAGGGAAGGGGGGGGGGGGTGTTCATGCTGGAAGAAGTACAACATCCCCACCGGCTATAGGGAACAAAACCCGCTGGGTTGTTCATCTAGTGTGGTGTTGTAATGATGGTGGGAGGTGGTAGTAGCGGTGGTACTTGTGACTGTATTAATGGTGGTACTATTAGCAGTGGCAGCGAGCAGAAATGTTGGTGGTAGTGGCACTGGTGTTGGTTGACACGAGGGATGATGTTTTACCTGTGAACTTTGCTTCAATTGTCCCAACACACAACATTGACCTTGACACACACATCAAGCCTCCAAATGGACTTCTGCCCTCATCAGATCCACAACTTCTGACCTTTAAACAACTATTTAAACCTCAGCACCTCCAACAAAATCCTTAAAATCGATTTCAAAATTAACTTCACGCTTCCCAGTCCTGAAAAGCACATATCTGAGGAAACATCCATGGCAGTCCAGAAGTGGATGCCTCACTCATAAGCATCCATGGCAGTCCAGAAGTGGATACCAAACAAGCGTCCATTGCGCTAGAGAAGATAATCTCTCACCCAATACACAATTAGCAGGACTAACCGGGTTTTGGTGTGGCTATGTGGGCCTGCGGGCAGCTCCAAACAACAGCCTGTTGGACCAAGTTATCACAAATCGATTCTGGCCCCAGGCCGGGCTCGGGAAGTAGAAGAACTTGATGTATCCTCTCAATGTATGTCCTTGATGTATCCTCACGCTGTGTGTCCTTGATGTATCCTCTCACTGTGTGTGTCCTTGTTGATGTATCTTAATTCAGTTATGGAAGAATGGTTATCGTGGCTGCAAATGGCTGGTAGAGAGGTTAGCTCACCGCACATACATTCATACATACAGGAAAGAGAGGGATCAGGAAACAAGTGACAGGATGAACAACCCACCGGACTCACTCCTGTTGGGTGATGGTGTACACGCTGTTATGGCGGTATGTTATTCACAGGATGAATGACGCTGCCCAATAATCTAGCCCTTCGGGACAAAATATTAAAATTATTACATTAATGTAGGCGGCCAGCGGTTGGAAAAGTTGTATCCGAGAACTGAAGTTTGGTCAGCAACCTCTTACTTGATAAGAACATGCAAAGTTGCTCATTGCAACCATGTGGCCAAGAGCTGCAGTGTTGCAAGGTGGAGGTCATTGTTATTTTTAACCTTCCAGAGTGGGAGGGGATGATGAAGAGTCCTGTGGTCCTTGTAGGGGCGTGACCCACGTGACCTAGCCAGTCCTTCACTCTTGACCCTACACCCCATCATAGGTCAGGGACAGGCGGCCATGTTACTGCCCTGGCAGGAGGTCCATCATGGGGGTACTCGACGCCCATCACATGTAATGGGTTAACCCGTTC